ACAGCACCTAACAACAACAACAAATGGTATTGAAGCAAGAAGTCCAAGATTCCCTGAAAGCATTGGAGAAAAACAAGACCCCAGGAACTGACTGAATATCAATTAAACGGTTTTAACAAACTGATGCACTGGAAGCGCTTACTAGTCTATGTCAAGAACTTCGGAAGACATCTCTGGCCAACTGACTGGAATAGATGCATATCTGTGCCCATTCCGAAGAAAAGTGATCCAACAGGATACAGAAATTATCAAACAATATCACTAATGTCATATACAAGTAAAATTTTGCTGATGATAATTTAACGAACATTGCAGTAGCCCATTGACAAGGAGCTACCAGAAATTAAAGCTGTATTCAGAACAGGATGTGGAATGAGGATATTATTGCTGATATCAGATGGGTCTTGGCTAAAGCAGAGAATACCAGAAAGATGGTTACTTGTGTTTTATTGACTATGCAAAGTGATTTGACCACGTGGATCATAAAAAATTATGGATCATATTGTAAAGGATGAGAATTCCAAAACACTTAAATGTGCTCATATGGAATCTTAGTTTAGTACATAAACTAAGAGGCATTCATTTTACTAGGACAAGGGGATACTGCATGATTTAAAATCAGGAAATGTGTTGTCAGGGTTGTACCATTTTACCACACTTATTCAATCTGTATGTTGAGATATAATTCAAGAAACTGGACTATAGGAGGAAGAATGTGGCATCAGGATTGGAGGAAGACTCATTAACAACCTGCAATATGCAGATGACACAATCTTGCTTGCTGAAAGTGAGGAGGATGTGAAGCACTTAGTGATGAAGATCAAAGATCAAAATAATATCCTTGTTATAGTCTTTATAGATTATACTTCAACATAGAGAAAACAAAAATCCTTACAACTGGACTAATAATCAGCATCGTGATAAACGGAGAAAAGAGTGAAGTTGTCAAGGATTTCATTTTACTTAGTTCCACAGACAACATTCATGGAAGCAACAGTTAAGAAATCAAATGATGTATTTACACTTGGCAAATATACTGCAAAAGACCTATAACAGTATTAAAAAGTAAAGATGTTGCTTTCAGGACTAAAATATACCTGACACAAGGCATGGTACTTTCAATCTCTTCATGTACAAGTGAAAGTGGGATAGTAAATAAAGAAGGCTAAAGTATCAATGGGCTCAAGCATGACAACAATTGTGAGGTTGGCCCAGAACCGGGCAGTGTTTCATTCTGTTATGCACAGGGTTGTTATTAGTCGGTACCGATTCAATGGCACCTAACAACAACAACAAAGAAGAATTGATTGATTTAAATTACAATATTAAACATCCCAGAAGAATGAACAAATCTGTCTTGGAAGATGTACAGGCAGAATGTTCCTTAGAAGCGAGATAGTGAGACTTCATCTCACATACTTTGGACCTGTTATCAGGAGGGGCCATGCTCTGGGGAAGGACATCAGAAGGAAAGAGTCAGTGGGAGAGAAAGAAGATCCTCAACAAGATAGACTAACACTGGCTACAACAATGGGCTCAACCATAACAATTGTGAAGATGACACAGGACCAGGCCGTGTTTCATTCTGTTGGACACAAGGTCTCTATGAGTTGGAGCCAACTCGATAGCATCTGACATCAACTTCTTCTCTAATCAAAGTAAAGAAGTAGATTTCATAGCCATATCTGAGATCACTAGAAACCGGAGGAAAAGGAAACACTTTCAGATATAGGTAGGTCATCTTCTTCTTGGACTAGGATCAGGGGTCAGCAAATTTTTCCTGGAAAGGGCTAAACAGTAAATGTTTTAGGTTTTGCAGGCCATGCAGTCTCTGTTGAGACTACTGTCTTTGCCACTGCAATAGGAAAGCAGTCATAGAGAATAAGGCAAGGAATGGGTGTAGCTGTGTTCAATAAAAATTTATTTATAAAAACAGGCCTGGGGCAGGTGCTAGATAAACAAAATGTTCCTTTCTGAATATAAAAATAATTTACTTACTTTGCTCTTTTGGCCATTTCATTGCCATCCCATCTGGGGCTATATGGATAATTTTTCTGGGTCTGGGAGTAAAGTTGTCCACTGTTGGTAAAATGATAGACGGACTGAAATGTGAGAGTTGGCTGGTCTCGAGGGAAAAACAAGGGCAGGTCAACTGTAAAGAAAGAAGGAAAAGAAAGTTAGGGCTTAAATACATTTTACGGTACTTTTCTAGCTACATCCGAATATTTAGCTACAAGACTCTATGTGAACCATATATCTGGATTGAGATCTTGGTCCAACGCATGGGAAGAAATCAAGAAATGAAAGGTGACTTCCCTGATTCCAAGGAGTTTATAATCTAGTTAGACAGTCAAATAACAGACTAATGAAAAATTAACCAATATGAGGTTGTTGTTGTTAAGTGCCATCGAGTAGATTCCGACCCATAGCAACCTTGTATAGGGCTTCCAAGGAGCAGCTGGTGAGCTTGAACCACAGACCTTGCAGTTTAAATGACTTTGCAGTCTGATGCATTAGCCCACAGAGGAATATTATGAAATGGTTAAAGAGGCTAGTTGTTATTGTTGTTAAGTGCCGTCGAGTCAGTTCTGACCCATAGCGACCCTGTATAAGGTTTCTGAGGAGCAGATGGTGAGCTTGAACTGCCAACCTGACAGTTCAGAAGTGTTCCTGGGTGCCTTCCTCCATCTGAACTTTTCTTATAGCACTTACTTTGTCTAATGTTCCAGAGCAGAGCTATACATATGTTTTAAGTCTTATACCATAAACTCTCCAAGGACCAGGCAGTGCCTTCCTCATCTACAATTTGATGGCATGAGGCCACTCTTGAAGAATAGATTTGGAAAGAGTACAAAGAGGGTTGTTGTTGTTAGGTGCTGTCCAGTTGGTTCCACCTCATAATGACCCTACTATGCACAACAGAAAAAAATACCACCTGGTCCTGCACCATCCTCACAAGTGTTGCAT